GTACTTGCTGTCTGCCACGATGGGAGAGTTGATCTGGGCCTGTGTCCGAGCCTGCGCCTCCTCCAGCGTGAGCAGCTTCGTGGAGGGAGAGGACACCAGCAGAGACTTGGGCCGGGACAAAGAGCTGTGCCCTGCAAGGGAGAAACCACAGGCAACAGGGAGAGTCAGAAACCAGCAGTGCAGAGATCAAAGCTCAGTCAAGGGAGGTGCTGTGTTTTTCTAAACCTTTGTTATCCCAACCGCTGAAAGACGTGGACAAAATGTGGTCAGAGAGATGTTTGTGACAAGAAGAACCTCTCACTGAGTAGCTCGGTGAATTAAAAAATAAAGGCAGAGGGAAGCAGGTAGATCAGAAACCTTTGTGACATACTTTACACTTCAGCTTCACCTGCGAACAAAAGCCTGCACAGAAAACGATGGTTTTGCTTTGAACAAAGCCTGGCTGGGTCATTCCCAGGTTCCACCTCTTGGTACAACAGGAAATGCCACGTGTGACTGAAGCTGCACAAACCACTGTGCAGATGCACACAGCAAACAATCTGCTCTGTGTCCTGCCCTCGGCCTTTTACAGCTTGGGCCTGGTTTTAGAGATGAACACGCCAAGTTCTGTGAAAGTAGTTGCTGTTGCCTCCTGCTGCTGTCAGCATCAGTGTAGAGGGGATCACAGCAGCTGTCCTTTGTCTGCCAGTGTTTATTGTGCAAGTGTTTATAGGGTTGCTCCCAGAGGAGTTCAGGGGTGTGGGGGGAATGTGCAATCGCACAACATCCTGGTTGGTTCCATTCCCACATCTCCTGGTGTGTGTGAGCTGTAAATGCTGTCCTGGGTGAACTGTGGGTTAAAAGGGGCTTGGCAGCACCACTTTCACCCCCTTACAGGTGGGTGCAGGAGCTGTGCCCGATCCCAGAGGCTCCTGAAGCCGTGCTGGAGTGCACTATTCCTGCTAAATATGCCAGATAACCCAGCTCTTGACCCTGCCAGTTTTGTGTCCAAGCCCACTGAATGTGAGTGACCAAGTCATTAAACAATTAGCTGAATTTACATGGTCCATTCTAAGCCTGGATAATCATCTGGCTGGGATTCTGAGCATGCTTATCTTCCCCTGGCAGAGCCTGCTGGGGGCTGTCACTGCTCAGCCAAACAAACCTCTGGCTCCTGCTGACTTAGAATCCCCTTCCAGGAGGAACAAAAGCTGGAGAACTCTGCTGTCCCAAGTAGAAACATGGCTTGTTTAGAAGAGGGGAGCAGCAAATGCAGTGGAAAAGCAGCTCTCTGCACTGCCCAGGTGGTGGCAACTGCACTGGCTGTGCACGTTCCATGGGCAGGGCAGGTTGTCAAGGCAGATGGTGCACCCTTAATGCTGCTTAGGAGCAGGAACAGCTTGTGGTGGCCCCGTTTTGTTGATCTAACACACAGAGGAAACCTTCTTCCTGGTGGAACTCTGCTCCTTTTCCATGGAACAGCGATATGATCTTAGTTACTCAGGGGAACTTGTAGGTTCCAAGGCTGAATGTGTTTTCAGGTGCCCCAGGGCTGGGCACAAACGTGTTACAGTTCATGGCTGGTCAGCCCTGCTCATGAACCCACCCAGGCTGTGCTTCTGCAAGGAATAACCAGCACAGCAGATGTCAAAACAGCCCCTATTAAGAGCAAGACTAAGTTTCTTAGCATCAACATCACTGAACACAGAGAGCTTGCTTTAAATCCTTATTTCCCACTGGTGTTCTAAGGTACGTGGATAAATGTAGAGAGAGCTCAAACGGATGGAGATCGATGGTGGTGGCTTTAAAAAGTAGAGGGGGCAGAGGGGGACAGATGAAGGGATGAAGAGGAAGATGAGGAAGAGGGGTTCCCTAAGCCCCCTACCTCAATTTTCAGAGGGGTATGCCAGGGGGAGGATCTGGGGGGTGGAAAAAAATTGTGGAACCCCCTGGACACGTCTCTGTACCCTCGTGGTGGTTAAAGGCCTTCTATTAAAACTGCTCTATTATCTTACCTCTATAATAATTGCCTAGCAAGTAATTTTTTGGCTCCTGGCCAATTTTTTTCAGGCAAGAGTTTTTTGATTCCTTGTGATTTCTCAGTGGTAGGACACAAAAGCAGCAGCCAAACATTACTCTGTGCACTTCTGTGGGGCATCTGGGAAAGGGACTGACAGCAATTTCTACAACTAGGCCGCATTTGTTGGGTTCTGACATCATAACCCGGGAAATGTGTCCTCTAAGTCAGAAAAAACCCATCTTTCCACTGTCCCAGGGGAGGTTCAGATGTCCACTGAGTGCCTTGTGTGGGGAGGGGAGCGGGACACAAACCTGCCCCGTCCCGGATGACGGAGCTGAGCTTGGAGCTGAACAGAACATCCACGTGGTTCAGGATGAACTCCACCACCACCGACTGGATCCGCACCTCCATGAAGGCAGCTGTGCCACTGAAACAGGCTGACTCGATCTGCTTGGACCTGGGAAAGGACATTTCTCAGCTCAGCAACAGAAGCAGTTCAGAAATCAATACAATAGAGGGCAGGGTGATACTATTTTTTCTTTTAAAGCAAAAATGTTAAGTAATACCATTAATTTCAAACTGCCCTATTATGCACATTCAAAACAAATTTTAGGGGGCAGATTTATCCAAGATTATTCCTGTAACACAAGCTGTCAAACTGGACTCTAGAGACTTCTGCAGTGGGAAATCAGTGATGCCACTGAAGAAATTCCCTAGGATAATCAAGGACACACTCGTCTCATCTAACCAGAAGAGGGGAAATTATCCTCTAGAAGAGAGAGTTGAGGGAATTCTTACTTGCTACCACTGACTGACCTGCAGTCAGTGGGACTGGGTCATGTGAGACATCAGGATGTTTTTGGGGTGGTCCCACTGACAACAGTGGGGACTGTTTTACATCATTAGCTGGGTCTTAAATCCTCCTTAGAGTATTTTCCCATATTTTACAGGGGAAGAAGCACATTGGATGAAGAAAGGAAGTACTCTTTCCAGCTGCTGGAAGTCAGGATTTTCTGGAGAAGAGATATCTGTCTAGTTTTTATAAACATAAAGACTTATCTTCAGTGAAAAGGGAAAAGCCCAGGGTACCTGAGGAGGTTGGGAGCCCAGACAATGGCCAGGTTCTTGGTGTGCATGTTTGTGATGGAGCAGTAATCAGCCAGACGAGCCAAGTGCCTCATTAGGAACTCCAGTGTCCTGGAAAACGGGAGAGAGGCAAATGTTCAGCACCACTGAGCAAAGCCAGGCTGTGATCCCAGAGCAAACCCAGCTCATTATTTCCTTTTGGTTTGACAGCTCCCAGAAAGAAACGCTTGAACTCCTTCCTCTCAGACCATGGGGAGTGTCTCCAGCAACCAGTGACACAGGGGTGGGCTGAGGGGAGTCCCTCCTGATTTGTCCCCAAAATATCCTCTCTGCAGGTGTGTGACAGCCCTGAGCAGCTGCTCAGGGGGGAGGATGTGGAATGCCAGTCCTGGGAAGAGGGGGAGTATTGATTTTGACACCCCAGGATACCAAAAACCAGCAAGCTGTGCCTGAGTTCTTCTGATGAAATTACTGGCTACAGCTTTGTTAGAGGTCGATGAGGCAGGCCCAAGGTTAAACTTCAGAGACTTCTGCTCAGGTAAAAAATGCCTTTTTATACATTAATGAAACACTGTTGTACCCCCTGGGGAGGAGGGAGCAGGAGGTGGCAATGAAAATGCTGATCTGTCCTCCTCAGTGCTCGGGCTTGGAAACGTCTTTGGCTTCGGGAGGGGAGATGGAACAGAGGGGCTCAAAATTCCACAAATGGACAAGGGCTGGAAGGGAAGGCAGATGGTTCTGGCTGGGAACAAAGCTGACACCTCCTGCCTGCAACTTCTCATCACTGAGCAGCAGAATAATAAAGTGTTGTTTTATTTTTCCTCTTCTCCAGCAAACTGAGGAGAGGAGGAAAGAGCCCCGAGCACCTCCAGCATCCACTTCCAGGGCTTGGCTCTGCTTCCTCTCCAGGACCAGCACCCAGTTAAACCAGCCCATAGAGGAGAAGTCATTCTAGGGAAAAGGTGGAATGCCCCACAGAAACTGCACCAAGGGAGATTAGTTTATTTTTGAGAAGGCCCTGCCCCCCCTTAATTAACACAAATATTGTAATTAGTTACTAAAAGTACCAGCTGCTCCACTAACTAGCCCATGTTATTTAACAAGCAAGTAGCACACAGTTGCAGCTTATAACAATTAGTTAAATCCTAGTTAACCATTATAATGAGTTATTTATAGCACTCAGGTGCAGCATTGCAAGTTAGCCAGCTAATCACCATTATCACAAGTACTGAAATTTAAATATTTAATTGATTTTATGTGTTACAACTGGCCATCTATAGCACTGAGGCCACAGAATTTTAACTAGCCCTGCAAATTAATATATATTACAATAATCAATTGTGATTATAATGCAGTATTAGTTACTAATAGTTACTAACATTAGTCTCATTAACATACAATATTATATGCAGTTATTAAAACCAATCACCATAGCAATTTGTCTGATGCCTTTTTACCATACCCTGCCATAAATTTTAATACTAAAGACTGTTAAAATGTTATTATTCTTAGTCAAGACTCATTACCCCATAGCACAAATTGCTACTAATACTAATTAGTTTGAATATAGCAGTGTAACTGGTGATTTTTAAATACCCTATTATGTTAGTTATTCTAATATATACCACTAATATAATAATTTACACTAGCTATTCTAACAGACAACTGTTATTATCTGCTAGTTACTGTTATTACTGGGAGAGGGAAACTGGAGACAAATTATGTTCATTTTTTTGGAAATATTTCACTTTTTCAAAGTACCATTCCTAGAGCTGGTTTTGTGCCCACCCAGCAATAAAACTATTTATGAGCCATTTCTGACACACCAAGGTTGTGTTTTTGTGTTTCCCTCCTGTACAGACTATCCAAGGAAGTCAAGTAAGACCAGGTATAGAATGGAGTGTTTGGTAAGGAGCTGATTAAAATACAAAATCAACTTTATACAACCATTTCAACGTGCAGAAACACATCCTGAGAGGGAAACTGAAATCCTATCATTTTTCTCCCCCAAAATTCCAGCAAAGGAATGGCCCTCACCTGTAGTGGGGAGGGGGCAGCTGCTGGATCACATCGTGGATCTTCACCAGCCTCTCCTCATCTGTAGCAGCAGAAACAGCATCCTGGAAGGAGGCAGAGAGGGATTGAGCTGCAAAGAATGCTAAAAACCTGCCCCTTGCACCACGTGGCCAGCGCACAGCTGTTCAGCAGGGAGGTGGGTTCTGCTGCTCTTCCCTCCCTTGGGTGAGGGGTCTGTCCTGGGGACACGGATCGTGTGAGGAAGGCCAAGGAAATCATCATCTGGGACACTCTGGAGCTTCACTGCACAGAGCAATTCCTTGCAGAAGGTCTGTGCAGCTCCAAGCAGCGTTTGCTTCTGATCTCAAGACGTCACTGGGGAACAGCAAACCATCAGGAATTCCTGGTTGGTGTCCCCCAGTGACTTTCTGCTGGGCAAGTGGAATCAAGACACTGGCACAGGGGACAAAGGCACTTGTGAGGGACCTAAAGGGGAACAGAAAAGGCACCTTGAAACTCTGGGCACCTCCTGCTTGGAACGGCAGGAGGGGAATCTGGTGTGTGGGCAGCGAAGACCAGTTGCTGTCAGGCTGGTGATTTTGGAGATGTGCTGTTCAGACTGCTCTCAAACCCTCAGACTAAGCAAAAGCAAACAGAGGAAGGTGTGTGGGAGCAGGTTCACCTTCCAGCATTCCTCTGAAGTCCCACTGAGGTGGGATTTGCCTCACACTTACTGAGAACTTCTCGTAGAGCTGGTAGGTGAGCAGGGGGTTGGGGAGCTCTCGGAAGTACAGCTTGCACAGGGAACCCACACAGTGGATGTCCTGGATGTAAATGTCCTTGGTCAGGTCGGGAATCTGCTCCGAGTCAAACTCGTGGCTGCAAACGAGAAACGGGCCAAGGGGTTGGAGGAGGAGCAGTGAAATCAAACCCAGCAAATTACAGTCAAGCAAAGCAGGGGTTTCCTGATTTACAGGAAAAAATAAATCCTTAGTCATCGAAGCCACGTGACACACGGCTTTGGGGCTGCTACAGGGGATTTTTCAAAAAATCAGACTTTATTTTTTTCTAATAAGGCATTTTCAGCGAGTTTTACAACCAGCTGGCTGCAACCCCTTCTGCTGCATCAGAGCTTTTTTCACAAAGGCTTCAGAGGAAGCCTCCCAAGACCACAAGGACAATCTGCTGAACTCCCAAGGGCTGTGCCTGGGACTGCCCACAGGTCTGATGAAAGCTGTCCCTCTGCATTTCAAAGGCCTGGGAGCTGCAGTGATCAAGCCATGCCAACAGCAGTGCCAAGGGCAGCACATGGAAACCAGCGTGTGCAGAATTCCCGGGGGGACAAACTGGTGAGCTGAGCCTGCCTCTGCCACGGGGTGAGGAGAGCCAGGAACCACATGAAGAACATCCCTGAGCACTCCCTTGGTTTTCAGAGAGAGGGGAAAAAAAACCAAATCACAACCATTTATGAAATAAAAGCTGAGCTTAGAAGGCCAAGGGCTGGAATACGTGCATGGAAAGTGCTGTTTCAAATTCGGCCAGATCTGCAGGGTGAGTCAGGCCGGGGAGCTGGGAGCTGGTCCTGCTGGACCTCGGGGTCCCTATGAGGGTTTTTAGGATCAGAAGGGCTGATCCTGCCTGCACTGCACCCACAGCCGTGTCTGGGCTTGGTGGAAACACCCCTGGTCTCTCCTGCATCCAAAGCAGGCAGTTTGTGACCCAGAGGGTAACAGAGCCCCTCAGCACAGCTCCAGCACTGAGCCTGCCCACGGAGCAGATCCTGTGTGTCCCCTGCCCATGGAGCAGATCCTGTCTGTCCCCCTGCCCACGGAGCAGATCCTGTCTGTCCCCTGCCCATGGAGCAGATCCTGTGTGTCCCCTGCCCACGGAGCAG